TTTTTAAAAAGGCGTGTTATAAGCTTTTGGTAGGGTTGGCCTAGGGTTCATTAACGGTTTGTTTTGCGGTTCATTTAGGCTTGGTTTAAGATCAATTTCGGGCTGGGTTTAAGATATATTCAAGCAAGTTTTTTTTGGGTTTATTTAAGCCTATTTTGGCTTGGCTTAAGATCTATTTAATCTATTTAGGCTGGGCTTAAAATTCTATTTAGGCGTGGTTTAAGATCTAGGAAAGAATTGGTTTAGGATCTCTTTAGCCTTGGTTTAAGGTTCATTTAGGGTTGGTTTTAGCTTGGTTTGGGATCTATTTAGGGTTGGTTGTAAGGTTTTTAAGGGCTTGGTTTGAAATCTAGTCCGGGTTGGTTGAGGATCCATTTAGGGTTGGATTGAAATTTGGTTGGGCTTGGTTCAAAAACTATTTAGGCCGGGTTTCAGGTCTATCCAGGGTTGGTCGAAGGGTTTTTTTAAGGTTGTTAGTTTCAATTTTAAATAGGGCGTGTTTAGGGTTTACTTAGAATTGCCAATGTTTTTCGGGGATTGGTTTAAGGGTTAGTTATTTCCCCACCTGCCAGGCAAGGGTTGTTAGATTTTATCCAGGCGAGGGTTGTTAGATTTTATCAGAGCTGTTCTCCTCATCCTCCTCCTCGTCCTCCTCCTTCTCCTCCTCCTCCTTCCTCCTCCTCCTCCGCGTCCTCCTCCTCTTCTACCACCTCTGCCTCCACTTCCACGTCCACTGTTGCCTTGCCAATTTTTGGCCAAGCTCTTCGACAACTTCGGAGCTCAGTGCGCACTGCTGGACCTCAACCTGGGACCTTCCCAGCTCAGTGCGCACCGCTGGACCTCAACCTGGGACCTTCCTAGCTCAGTGCGCACCGCTGGACCTCAACCTGGGACCTGCCGAGCTCAGTGCGCACGCGCTGGGACCGCTGGACCTCAAAAGCCAGATAGAATGCCAGAAGATATGCCAGATAGAATGTCAGATAGAATGCGAGAAGATATGCCAGATAAAATGCCATAAGATTTGCCAGATGATGTGCCAGAAGATATGCCAGATAGAATGTTAGAAGATATGCCAGATAGAATGCCAGAAGGTATGCCAGAAGGTCTGCCAGATAAAATGTCAGATAGAATGCCAGAAGATATGCCAAATAAAGTGCCAGAATGTTTGCCAGATAGAATGCCAGAAGATGTGCCAGATAGAATGCCAAAAGGTATGCCAGATAAAATGTCAGATAGAATGCCAGAAGATATGCCAGATAAAGTGCCAGAATGTTTGCCAGATAGAATGCCAGAAGATGTGCCAGATGATATGCCAGAAGATGTGCCAGATAGAATGCCAGAAGATATGCCAGAACATATGCCAGAAGATGTGCCAGATGATATGCCAGAAGATATGCCAGATAGAATGCCAGAAGATATGCCAGATAGAATGCCAGAAGATATGTCAGATAGAATGCCAGAAGATTTGCCAGTATCAAAATGTATAAATGTCATGGTGGGGATCACATGAAGTAAAGTAATTTATGGTTGGTTTAGGGCTGGTTTAAAATCTATTTTACATGAAGTTTTTCAAGGTCCATGTATGAAAAAACAGGGAAAAGCAGAGAAGCAGAAAGGCAGATAAGCAGGGGAAAGCAAAAAAGCGGAAAGGCACAGAAGAAGCAGAAAAGCAGGGGAAAGCAAAAAAGCGGAAAGGCACAGAAGAAGCAGAAAAGCAGAAAAGCAAAGAAGCGGAGAGAGGCAAAGAAGCAGCAAAGCAATTGAAAGCAGAACAGCGGAGAAGCAAAGAAGCAAAGAAGCAGAAAAGCAGGTAAAAGCAGAAAATCAAGGAAAAGCAGAACAGCGGAGAAGCACAGAAGCAGAAAAGCAGGGACAAGCAGAAAAGCAGAGAAACTAGATACTTCCCTTAGAAAAACAGCGCCGCATGCTGTCAGCAGCCTGGCAACAAACTGAAAGCAGCTTGGCACCAATACAGCCAGCAATCCCGCAGCTGTCTCGCGGCAGCTTGCCAGAAGTCTAGCAGCAGTAGCAGCACTTCAACGGCGCAGAAAGAGCCCACCAGCAAACCAACAGCATCTAGTAGCACTTCTTTTTGCGGTTTGGCAGCAGCCTGACAGGCAATCTAGCGGCAGTCGAGCAGGTGATCTGGGCACCCGTTTCGCAAAGATTTTTCCCAGATGCAAAACAGCATGGTACAAAGCAAAGAAATCAAAATGTAACGCTTTTCTTAAAAGTAGTCTTTGAGGGCCTTGTAAAGGAAACGGTTGAGGGACGTGGAAAGATGTTGAAAAACAATCTTCGTGGCTACTTCGGCTACTTGGAGAATCTTGCGGAAAAGCAAGTCCTTGGGACACACCAGTGCAGGAAAATATGTCTGACGCCCCTGCAAGACATTCTTTTTCAAAGTGCTCTCTTCTGAGAGAAACCTGCGTGGCTCTTTGGACGATGTTCTTCGAAGATATTCTTGCGGGACATTCTTGTAAGCCGCTTTTGAACTTGTCTGACGCATCCTTCTTGGCGTTCAGTGGCTGACATGCTCCTCCATTCTTAGACGAAAAACGGGTGCCGACGTTTTACTACCAACCTGGCGCATCTAAAGAACCGCCAGCATGCATGGGGGCAAAAGCCATCGAAAAAGTCACTGCTCAAGCGGCGAGCCGCAAAAAATACAAATTACTTTACTTCGTTTGATCCCCACCATGACATTTATACATTTTGTTACTGGCAAATCTTCTGGCATTCTATCTGACATTTTATCTGGCATTCTATCTGGCATTCTATCTGGCATATCTTCTGGCATATCATCTGGCACATCTTCTGGCATTCTATCTGGCAAACATTCTGGCACTTTATCTGGCATATCTTCTGGCATTCTATCTGGCAAACATTCTGGCACTTTATCTGGCATACCTTCTGGCATTCTATCTGTCATATCTTCTGGCATATCTTCTGGCATCCTATCTGACATTTTATCTGGCATACCTTTTGGCATTCTATCTGGCATATCATCTGGCACATCTTCTGGCATTCTATCTGGCAAACATTCTGGCATTTTATTTGGCATATCTTCTGGCATTCTATCTGACATTTTATCTGGCATTCTATCTGGCATACCTTCTGGCATTCTATCTGGCATATCTTCTGGCATTCTATCTGGCATATCTTCTGGCATTCTATCTGGCATATCTTATAGCTTTCTATCTGGCATATCTTCTGGCATTCTATCTGGCCGTTGAGGTCCAGCGGTGCGCACTGAGCTGGGCAGGTCCCAGGTTAAGGTCCAGCGGTGCAAGGTCCAGAGGTGCACACTGAGCTGGGAAGGTCCCAGGTTGAGGTCCAGCGGTGCACACTGAGCTGGGAAGGTCCCAGGTTGAGGCCCAGCGGTGCACACTGAGCTGGGCAGGTCCCAGGTTGAGGTCCAGCAGTGCGCACTGAGCTCGGAAGTTGGTGCAGAGCTTGGCGAAGAGTTGGCAAGGCGGATGTGGAGGTGGAAGTTGATGGAGAGATGGTCGAGGAGAAACTGGAGGAGGAGGCGGAGGAGGAGGAAGAGCAGAGCTAGTCGAGGAGGAAGAGAACAGCTCTGATAAAATCTAACAACCCTCACCTGGCAGGTGGGGATTACCCCGGCAAGAGCCCCCTGCAAGGAACATGAAGAAGAGATGCCAGGTTAGATTCTGCTGTGTGAAGATCCCTGAGCAAGATCGTGTGCAAGATCTCCTTGGCAGGTTCTCTGTAGAAGCTGCCGTGCAAGATCGCTTTGTAAGGTAATATGTACGGAGATCTCTGGAAGCTCTGCTCTCTACAAGAAATCTCTGAGCAAGATCTCTGTTCTCTTCACCAGGTCTCTGCACAAGATCTCTACAAGAGGTCTCCTGTCAAGCTCTCTGCACAAGCTCTCCAAAGAGCATCTCCCAGCAAGATCTCCGTAAGGGACCTTTTGGCAAGATCTAAACGGATCTCTTTGCAATGTCTGTGTAGAAGATCCCTAAAAACGGTCTCTTGGCAAGCTCTCTGTACAAGCCGCCTAAAAGAGGTCTCTCGGCAGGATCTGTTTCAGAGATCTCTGCGCAAGCTCTCTGTAAAAGCTGTCTTGGCGAGATCTCTGTAAGAGACCTCTTGGCAAGATCTCTCAACAAGATCTCTAAAAGAGATCTCTTGGCAAGATTTCGGCACAAGGTCCCAGTAAGAGGTCTCTTGGCAGGATCTCTTGAAATGGTCTCTGTACAAGCTTCCTACAAGAGCTCTCCTGGCAAGATCTATGTAAGAGACCTCTTGGCAAGATCTCTGCACCAGATCTCTACGCAAGCTTTTCATAAAAAACATCCCTTGTCAAGATCTCTGCGCAAGATCTCCGTTATTATCAAAATGGGCACCGTCCCACAACGCGAGTGGTCTGACACGCCCAAAGTGCCGAGAGGGTTACGCGAGCGGTTTCAAAATCAGCGCCGCGTCATGACGAGAGCGATCTGACAAACCCAAAGTGGCGACAGGCTTTTGCCAGGGATTTCAAAAATTCGCACCACGCCAGGCCGCGCCACAACGATGACGAGACGGTTGCACGAGAGGTCTCCGCGACACCCTGTTTTTGCCAGCCTGCGCAATCCACATGCACATGGACATCGCACAAGGGAGATTTTGCGCTGTAAAGGTCACCAAATTTGCCGGGCCACCTCGAATGAACACCAGGCCTCAGCTATTACCGCAAGACCCAAGTGTGGCCACACTGTTTGGGGAATACAAAGCCAACACATATTCTCCACAGAATCAATAATCCCGGTTTAGCCATGTGAATGCCACCCTCCAAAAATCACCCCTGAACTTGTTTGACTCACCTGTGGCACGTGCGATGGCCAGCTCAGAACGGCAATTTTTCGTACACATAACAAAATTGAAAGCATCTTTTTTAGTCTTCAAAACTGCTTCTCTAAAAGATCATGACCCAGGATGCTCCCCAAAAAGTGGGGAGCCCGCCTTAGCCATGTGCGCAAGACACCAGCATTTTTTGGGACAAACCGGGTTGACGCGAAAGCTCCAAGGGGGATTTTGGCACCGTATTATCAAACAGTCGCGCGGGAAAGTTTTGAAAGTCATTCTTCTCAGGGACTCCGCTTTGGTACGAGCGCCCGTTGTTTGACAATTCCCGTGTCGGACACTTTCTTGGCGCGGCTATAAGGCACTCTTGGACAAGGCCCTTAAAGACGACAAAGCCAAAAGCGCACCAAGTATTGGCCCGCCTTCCAATGCAAACGGGCGCTGAAAACACCGACGCATCATAAAATGCGCGGGATGGAATCATCAGCTCTCACTCCGCGCTGACCCCGAAACTCATTCTACAATCCTGTATTATAAGCTCTTTTGTTCAAGTTTCACCGCGAGGTGCGGCACGGTCCAGCCCCAAACCCCCCCAAAAAAGTTGCCCAGGTGATGCACTATCGGCAAGTCTTGAGCCGTGCCCACTTGACTGGCACGGTTGGATTGCGACACGCCGCTTCCCTGGACAGACAGGAGCTTTGCCTGCTCTGAACAGAATGTGCAAGCTCACTGAGACAGCGCTTTCTTGAAAGTGTGTTCCTGCGGGCAACTTTTCACCTAGCTATTGAAGCGTTTTGGTACCGACAAAGCTTGCTGCGCAGCCAAAATATTCCACTGGCCCGAACATTGAGTGGAAAGATGCGGCACGTCTACCAAGCAATTTAGAAATAGGGCTGCTAGAATTTCAGGTGGGGATTTGCATACCTCATTTGGAAACATCGCAGAAATTCTGATGCGGAGCCTGATGGGCCTTCCATCTGACTCAAGGACGAAAGTAAGTCCATTCCGTGTCCTGCCAGCAATAGCAGCCACAGCGAACGAATTTGTACTAACAAAACATTCTTCAGCGAAAATCGCTCAACGCGGTGCAAGAGCATGATTAGGTGGAATGCATTGTGACTGATGCACGTTGTCCTGTAGAGCTGGCACAAGGTGGGTAAGTTGTGTCGCAGTGGCGGTGTTGGTGCTATGTGTGCTTCGCGCAGCTGCTCCGGCATTTAATTAGCAAACTCTGCGGCTTTTAAATGGTTGCGAAACATCCTGAAGACACTGGACCTTGGAATCCTTCGGCGCTGGCATGAGGAGGAACCAGCAACCATAGAAAGAATCGAAGCAGGCGTAAGCTGTACTCACACCCGAACTGTGTGACCGCAATGCGGTCTGTCTTTGGGCTGGCGCGTGCTAAACCTGATGTAGCGCTCATGAATCCAACAAAGACGGTTGCCTGGGTTCTACCTGTAGACTGCCAATTCGGCAGCACAAAACGCGACTGATTGCTGGCCTGTGCTCTCCTCTTCTTGAAGCAAAAGCAGCAAGGCCTGGGCGAGGAAGGGGATGGCTGCAATGGCGGCATGCCTTCTCAAAATCCCTGTGATCAAGCGTTCGGTTTCGGCGTCCCCTATCTTGGTATGGTGCCTTCTCACTCCCTCCCCGGCTTCGCATTCTTTGGCAAAACTTAAAAGACTAGAAAACCACACAAACATGTTGAGCCTTCCGATTGTTATGAAGGGACGGTGATGGGCTGGGATGGCGGAAATGGATATAGATAGTTAGCTAGATAAATGGATGGATGGATGAGAAAGATTAGAAAAACAAATCGAGTAGATTAGATGGATTAGATTAGCTTGATGATAGGGCAGGTCAAGAAGAATAAGTTAGAATGGATAGGTTAATCAAGGTGTAAATAAAAACAGATTAGATACGATACCGAGAGGCGTTTTACACAGAGCAGCTTTTACACACAGAAACTTTTACACAGACAAGCGTTATCATAATTCTTAACCGCATGATAGCTAGCGGTTTACACACACAAATGCCCTTTAAGTAAGGGCAACAGGACAGCTTGAACTACCTTCTGAAACTGCATCAAGTCTGAAAATGAAAAATCCCTACGGGATTGGCATGTGGTTGATGCGATCGAGACAACTTTGTTATCTGGCTTCTTGCACACACGCACACAAGAAGGGGCGGGAGGGAAGGAGGGAGGGAACAAGGACAGCCAGCCAGAACAAACAATGAGAGAAAACAACAAAGGCAGAAAACAGGCGGGGGAGCACACAACAAGCAGGCAAAACAAAGGAAAGGCAGGGAGGAAGGTCGGGAAAGGGGGCACGCAGAAACCCAACCCTGGCACGCGGGGCTATCAGACATAGCAAAACACAGCAGCGAGACAACTGAAGTAGGACGCGCCTGAGGACGAAGGGGAGAGCGGGGAGGGAAGAGGGGGAAGAAAGAGGAGGAGAGAGAAGGACAGGAAGGAGAAAGGAGGTGTCCCAAGCTATGCACGCTGCATCCATGAGCCCACCGGGGGGAAAGAGGAAAAGTCGCAATCAGAAATTCACATGCTACATACACCTTGAAGCCGATTTCCGCGGGCACTAAAACCCGTCAAAATTCCGAGGTATTGGCCAGATGAGAGATGAAAAATTGCACGCCGTTGTGGCGCGAAGCATATTTCGAAGTCAAAATGCGCAAAGCACACCAGGTTCGGAGCACTTTTGAAAAATTGAGATGTTGAAAAAGTGCACGCCGTTGTGGCGTGAAGCACATTTAGAAGTAAAAAGTGTAAAAAACACTTACGGCCTCAGACCACTTTTGGAAGTTGAGATGATGAAAAAGTGCACGCCGTTGTGGCGCGAAGCACATTTCGAAGTGAACGTGTACAAGGCACACCATGCACGGAGCACTTTTAGAAGTTGAGATGATGAAAACGTGCATGCCGTTGTGGCGCGAAGCATATTTCGAAGTCAAAAGTGCAAGAAACTGGCGGATTCGGGGCACATTTTGAGGTTAGGATGTGGTTTTGCCTGGCAGGTGCAAGAAATTCTGCACCTTCCCAAAAGTGAGCAAAACGTGAGGTTTTGTAGCAGTTTCAAAAACGTTGGCAGGCGTGGGAAGTGTCAAGAGGTTCTGCAAAGACGCTTTTTGCGTGGCAGGCGCAGTACAAGAGACCGTCAGCTCTGCACTCAGCTTTCCACTTTTGAAGGAAGTCTCGGAGAATTGCTTCGTTTTTGATGTTGGCAACTTGGAAAGTTGAGGAAGTCTCGCGGAATTGCATCGTTTTTGACGATGTCAAGCCCAACAATTGAGGAAGGCGTTTTAGATGTTGCCAAGTTCAAAAATTGAGGAAGTCTCGCGCAATTGTGCTTTTCAAGCTTGCAGACAGACAGACAGACAGCCAGGCATGCAGACAGACAGACAGCCAGGCAGGCAGACAGACAGATTAGATAGATAGATAGACAGAAAGATGGCTAGATGGGCAGACAGGCAGATAGAGAGATATAAAGATAGACAGATAGGTAAACAGATATATAGACAGACAGATAGATAGACAACTGCAACTGCAACTGCAACCGCAACTGCAACTGCACTACACTACACTACACCGCACAACAACAACCACAACCACAACCACAACAACCACAACAACAACAACAGCGACAACGACAACAACAACAACACCAGCAACACCAGCAACACCAACCACACCAACCACACCAACCACACCAACAACACCAACAACACCAACAACACCAACAACACCAACAACACCAACAACACCAACACCACCAACACCAACACCAACACCAACACCAACACCAACAACAACAACAACAACAACAACAACAACAACAACAACAACAACAACAACACCAACCAACAACACCAACAACACCAACAACACCAACACCAACACCAACACCAACACCAACAACAACACCAACAACAACACCAACAACAACACCAACAACAACACCAACAACACCAACAACAACAACAACAACAACAACAACAACAACAACAACAACAACAACAACAACAAACAACAACAAAGAAAAACAACAGCAACAACAACAACAGCAACCACAACAACAACAACAATAACAACAACAACACCAACAACAACAATAACAACTTCCACTACAACTACAACTACACTACCGCCACAACTACAATTAAATCTACGCTTCAACTGCAGGAGCTACAGCTACAACCGCAGCTACAACTTCAACTACACTTCACAGTGCAACTACAACTTCAACCCCAACTGCAATTACACAACACTACAACTACAAGTACAAATGCAATTGCCAACAGCACTGGCTAATGCGGCAGGATCGAGAGGTACATCAACGTCTTCCACTGGATTGTGATCCTCTCGAATCTTGCTGATATTGACCTTCACAATTCTTGTGCCTAGATCTACTCCAACCATAAGTACTTCCATCAATTGATACCAAGTTTCCTTTAATCCATTTTCCTCCATGAGAAGCATCTGATTTTATGTTGGATTTATCTTCGGTCCAGTAATATACTTTATCTCCAGGAAAGAATGGTCCATCACTGCGTTGGAGTTTGCTGGCAATGTCTCTTCGAAGGTCATCAGATTGCTTCGCCTCAAGAAACTTTCGCATTGCCAGTGACCTTGGCGCTTCAATCTGTCTCTCAGGAGCAGGGGCCTCAGTGGTGAGGTGTCATGTTTTCAATCGCCCTTATGTCGGCAGGTCTTCTTCCAAATGCTGATTCAATTGGTGTTACGCCGCCGTGTGTTACCATAGTATTCCTTGAGATACATGCTTGTCTCAACAGTTGTTTGTATGTGATATTGGCAAGCAGTGGATCGTCTTTCAAGGAAATAAGCATCAGGGAGACCTGCTTCTTAAACAAACGAATGGCTGCTTCAGCTCGGTTTGGCCATGGAGTACTTGGTCCTAGAGAGATTGGTCGAATGTTATGCCTGTTATAGTAATCTTCCATTTCAGTGCCCATAAAAGCTTGATCAGCAACAATGTATTTTGGATTCAGCTGATACGTTTCGAAGTACTCTTGAAGATGTGAAATCGTCACAAGACCTGACCTATTCTGAACGGCATGGCAGTAGTCAGGGAAGTTGCACCATCATAAAGAAGAAGGAATTGAAGTTTGGACTGAGGATTGATTGAGACTTCTCCATGATCAATGAAGGTAAGTTCACCAAAGACCTCACTTCGAATTCCTGATACCTTAGCTCTCGAAGGTGCAATCTTAGCCTTGGAACACGTATCACAGGATTTGGTAATCCGATCATATTTGTCAAAGATTTCCGTGGGAAACTTCAGTGCGGATGTTCTTCTCTTGAACTGTTCAGTTGACATGTGATAGTGCTTCAAATGTAGTTTCAAAAGTTCAATTGGTGATTGAAGCTTATCATCAATCGTCTGAAGTGCAAGGGATACTGTTCCTTTTGGTGACGCTTCCTTTTTCTCTTCAACCTTGACTTCAACCTTTGGTTCCTGTTTGACCTCTGATTCTTCCTCAGGTTGAGGATCCCGGCGAGGTCGAACTCCATCTTTGGAACCGGAACTGGGTCCAGATGCTTTCATCGGCTGGTCAGGAGGCTGAAAAGGCTCACTGGGTACTTCTAATTTTGTATCAGGTGAAATGGGTTTCTTGACAATCCTGGAGGCATTGCCTTGGTTTCCAACTTGATGTTGCAAGAGCCATAATGTCAAGAATGATTGGATGTACTGACCGCAAGAGCGGTGCGTTGCATTCCAAATAGTGGACATGTGAGAAACTCTCCTACATGAGTGTGTTCAATGTTCATTCGAAGATTCCTCATTTGTTCAACAGAGAAGAGGACAGGAACCTTGCCTTTATCAACGATGTCAACGCACATAGTAATCCAACCATGATGTGCATGATCATTTCGAAAATGAATCGCAAGTCTCTCCTTGACAGTGGATTGTTCTCCATTTGCACATGAACACTTACTTGAACATGGTTGTTTGGAAAACCAGATATGGTCACACTTTGGATGCTGCTGGCAAGATTGGACAAGACGATCAATTGCAAAGCGAGAACCCATGGCTCTGGTACAACCTGAATCAAGAATCACATGTGTTGGATGAGAACCAAGATCCACGTATTCACACAAGAGTGCTTGCTGGGCACCATGGTCAAAATTTAGATATACACACTCTTCCGTTTTGGGTGGGCGAGTCTGCTGTTCGTTCGGATGCTTGTCACCGGTATCGGTTGCGACGCTCTCTTCAATGGATCGGACGCTCTGAATTGGTTTCCTGTTCAAATCTTGGAAGCACTGGTACAGCAGAGTCACGAACAAAAACATGTATGACATGAAGGACATGAGTCCGTCCGTGTCCGAAACATCGGAACAAGCAAAAAATTAACAGAAAAACAGGACCGGTTGTTTTGGTATGCCTGTCCGTCCACAGGAAAATCATGAAAACCTTCCGAACTTCTTGTTTTTCGGGGGCTTTTGAAGTGCTAGAAGATGTTTGTTGAGCGACGTTTGCTTGTGGAGAATGTTGCAGAAATTGTTTTCCTCCTTTGTTTTTACCGTCGCCTTTTCCTTTGCCCTTCCATGAAGGCATTCCCTTGAAAGAATCCTTACCTTTCATTCCTTTCTTGCCCTTTTTGCCTTTTCCTTTTCCCCAGAAAGCTGTGTCTTGCTGGTCGTTGTCCCATGCTGCATCACCTTTTCCTTTTGACCTCGGACCGAAGCCGGGTCTTGAACGTTTGCCTTTCTTTCCATAGCACTTCGGTTTACCTTTCTTGAACGATCGGCCGTACAATCGGTGCTTAGAGTATGAACCCTTAGCGCCCAGAACCCAGAAATCGTTTCTGTGAAAAGACATGTAAATCCTTCTTCTCCTGTTTCCCCATCAACGACCCAAAACCTTTGTTCTCCTTCCTCAATTTCACCCTCGTCAATGATGAAAAAGGAAGACCATTTTCGGTGCGCAATGTTTGGATCAGCGACCCCAGCCTGGAAACACAGAACAGTTCGAGGAAAAGCTGTTTCACCTGCAAGTACGTTTACTGTGGCACGGCGATCTGTCGAATGTTCATTGATGAGACAAAACCTTCACGTTGTTGTTCATCTAGGTCTGATTGTACCAAAACGATCAATGACATCAAATTGTCTGACAATGGGAATGCATTTTGATGTTGTGCTCGCCAATTCGTGATTGTTTGTTCTCGAAGGGTGACTTGATAATTCATTCTCTCTTCATCATTCGTTAGATTTTGAAAGTGCTCACGCCGTGCATCAGTGAATGCTGCCAAAAATTCGGCCGTACCTATGTCCGGTAATCGTCAAATCAATCAAGTCGGCCCACGATGCATGTGCAATCTCGAAACGTCCTATCCAGTGCACGAATTCATGCTGGCCTCGGTAAGTGTGAAACAACTGGAGGAATCGCGAGAGAAACACATGATTTACTCCCTTCACGAAGTAGGGTCTCAATGTGCCCTTAAAATGGGAGAGGCCACGAGCCGGATCCCGGAGTAGGGCATTGCCGAGCATTGACTTGTAAAATGAAACGGCTCCTGCGAGTGCATTTTTGAGGGATGGGCCATGCTTGTCTGCATCTAATTTTGTGATGCCTAACCAGTCATCTATCAAGTCCTCATATTCAAACCAAATGAATTGGCTATCAAACTGTGGAGGTACCTTTGGAGTCATTTTGATACCTGTTCTGTTGTCTATGGTATTGGCGGCGTAGGCTTCCGGCTCTTGATATGTTTGGATTTGAAGTTGTTCTTCGTCCGAATCCATGTTTTGGATTAAGGCCATGGCAGCTACTCGGAGTTGCACCACAAGCTGCCCTTGCAAGTCCGTATATCGGTGCAGGTGCAAGAAGCAACTGCAATCCGAATATCGGATCTTAGCAGGGCACAGCGCTCCGCTACCACTTTGAGGTAGCAAGCCCCGGTATTTAGGGGCCCTGGATCTAAGCTAGAAAGCTATGAGCACTTGCGGTCAACAGTCGGAGCGCAGCACCTTTTCTGTAGCTATGCAAGCAAGTCTTGAGCCACGGAGTGACGCAGTGGATGATATGAATTAAAGTGAACATGTCACATAGTATGCAAGCTGTAGATGCATTGTGTAGACACGTCCCAAAAAGTAGGTTGTACGGGGGAGGGGGAGAGAGGGACTGGGTGGGTGGGAAGTGAGGGAAGAACGAGGAGGAAAGAAAAGAACGGGAAAAGAAAGGCCGCGCGCACTGCATCCATGGACCCAACTGGGGGAGTGGAAGGTGCACCCACCTATACTCCTGTATCCAAGCTCGCGGAAGAGAGGCTTCCCCTATCACATCCCAGCTTCGATGAACCAGGTTGGATGTGATAGCCCTGGCCCCCCTGCATGTTAATAACATTGAAACATTTTGAAACTGCATGTGGCTAGCAGTGCACGCACACACACACACGCTATTACGCACAGGAGCATTTACACAGAGAAGCCTTTACATGGAGCAGCGTTTGCAGAGAGCAGCTTTTACGCGGAGACGCTTTTACACACGGGAGCTTTTACACAAGGAGGCCATTACACAAAGATGCCTTTACACACAGAAGCGTAAAAAAACAGAAAAGGCCCTACAGGAGCATCTTGTACGCACAAACGCTTTTACACAGAGCAGCTTTTACGCAGAAAAGCCTTTACGCAGAGCAGCTTGTACACACGAACACTTTTACACACAGAAGCATTTTCACACAGAAGCTTTTACACAGAGTCGGCTTTAAACAGAGACGCTTGTACACAGAGAAGCTTTTACACACAAACGTCTTTGCGCACAAAAAACTTTTGCGCACAGACGCCTTTACACAGAACTGGTCTCATACAGAGAAGCCTTTACACAGAGCAGCTTTTACGCGCAGACGCTTTTACACAGAGCAGTTTTTCGACACAATCGCTATTACACAGAGGAACCTTTACACAGAGAAGCCTTTACACAGAGAGCATCATTTACACACAGATGCTCTGACACAGAGGAGCTTTACACGCAGACGCCTTTGCACAGAGACGCTTTTACGCAGAGCATACTTTACACACAAATGCCGCCTGCCACACGAAACAGCTGCGAAGCGGCGAGGCACAGTCAGCCGGTCTAGAGACAGGAAGCGCCGTGCATGCCAAATGAAACAGCCGCGGCGTCCAAAGTTGCCAAGGCACAGTCAGGCAGTCGGCAAGTTGAAAGAGAGAAGTTCATAGAGATGAACATGAAAGAGTCAATGATTGCGACAAGGACTAGTTGTCAAAGGGAAGTTGATAGAGATACACGCCATAAAGAGAAGCTGATAGAGATTAACTTGATAAAGGCAATTTGATAAAGAGAAGTTGATAGAGATGAACGTGAAAGAGACAAGTTGATAGAGAGCAAGGTGATGGAGAGAAGTTGATAGAGATGAACGTGAAAGAGACAAGTTGATAGAGAGAAGTTGTTACGGAGAAGTTGATAGAGATGAGAAGTTGATAGACGTGACTGTGATAGAGACAACAAGTTGATAGAGATGAATGTGTGTGTGAGAGAGAGAGAATTCGATGAATGTGAAAGAGACAAGTTGATAGAGATAAGTTGAGACCAATGTGACGCAGAGAAGCTGACAGAGAGAGTTGATAGAGATGACTGTGATTTCAACAAGTTGATAGACAGAAGTTGATAGAGAGGAAGGGAGGAGGAGCCAGGAGACGGCGGGGGGAGGAGAGAAGGAGGCGGGATGCAACACAAAAAACAAGAACCCCACGTAGTGATACGGGTAAAACAACGCAATCAAACTTGTCCCATGATTCGTGGTTTACTTCAACTGCCCCTGCCAGGCACGCAGGGGCTTGAGACTTTATGAAGCTTGGCAAGCACATGACTTTGTTCAGCTCAACACTCACATGTTTGGCCGCCCCGCTCGTCAACCTCCACTGGCTCCTGGGATGCGCGAAGGAATGGCAGGAAAGTTGAGGAGCTGGTCAGCGTGTGAAACACCAAGCCCATGGTCCGATGACAGCCCTGTTACTTGCACTCATTACTTTTGAATTTTGCCGCGTTTTGATTGGATTTCAGACGGCCAATAGGCCTTCACTCTTGTAGTATCATCTTGATGCCATATTTCAAATCCCCTTGTCTACTCGCAGCAGTCAAGCAATGCTTCCCACCGGCAGGATTCCCAGGCCTCTACCTTTCCCTCTCTAATTTCGCGGTAAGGCTGAAATCCTCAAGGTTGGATTGCCCAAACGCACGACTTACCATGATTGATCAAACAATCATCTTTGACAAATTGAAAAGCAAGCAGGCAGGCGAGTTGCTGTCTTCGACTATGCTTGTCTCCAAGGATTTGGCCTGGGCATGCTGCACTCTGGCTAAGCCAGTGGTAAAGGCAAAATCCTTCAGCGGGGTTTGGTCAATTGGGGTGGCCGGGAAATGCAGCACAGCTGAATGCGCTCGGCTTTGGCCAATTGGGTTTGAACGTGTTCCGTGCTGTTCCCTCAAATTCCCCCAAACTGAAAAGCTGCCTGGCTTGCAAACCATGCGAGTGCTGCAGAGATTGCGACCTTGCCAATCAAAAAGTGCACGTGCCAAGTCTTGGCTTGCAACCCCTAGTCGAGCTGTTGTGCTGCTTATGCAGCAAAAAACGCAATACTCTTCAGCAAGTCGAAGCTGGAAAACTTGACCGGGGTCTCATGACAAAGTTTCCCTTTTTGATTACCCGTCAGCAACTGCCATGATCACGCTATCATTCGAAAACAGCCAGCCGAGGTACCCTTAGCTCGCCTATCTGCGCAACATATGCAATATGTGTGATTGCCAGAATGCCTGTTGTGATAAGGTTCCGCACCATCACGTGACACATTGCATTTTCCGTGAACGACGAATTCTCCAGGGTGAAAGCCGCTTGGAAACCTCCTTCGCCATGGATGGTGATTTGCGCTGGCAAAATGGCGAAATGGCTCAGAAGTTTGGCTGGCGGTACTGGCCTCAATGCTTCAGGCAGAAGACATCTTACGCTTCTTGGAATATCATTCTCTTGGGCCTACCTGGTAGAAGAACCTCCAAGTTCAGCTTATGTTGGATGATCAGGCTTTCCCCGCTTGAGAACACAAAATATTTCGATGCTTCTGGAGCATGGACTTGCGATTGCAATGCGCCAAAGCCAGATAGATTGCCAGAGGAGCTTAAAATTCTAAACTCCGTCGTGCGGATTTTGAAAAAAGAGGAGAAAACCAATCACCACCAACATTGCATCGCCACAACAATACATCACCACAACAATGCATCACCACAACAATACATCCCCACAACAATACATGACCACAGCAATACAACACCACAACACCACATTACCACAACACCACAGCACCCACATTACCACATCACCACGTCACCGCATCACCACATCACCAATCACCACATAAGCAACTACCACATCACCATGTCACCGCATCACCAAGCACCACATCAGCACATCAGCACATCAGCGCATCAGCGCATCAGCACATCACCGCAACAATTGTATTGCGGTGGCTGCACCAAGGTTGCGATGGTGATTTGTCAGTAGACTTTTCTCCATTTTGGCGCTGGTGATTTTCCTTTTAAAAATCCTTTCAAAAAGTGCTTATTTGGTTTGCTTTGGCGGTGAGATCCGGTTTTGGAGCTGCAATTTCCATCTAAAAGCTTCTCTTTGTAAAAGGTTCTCTGTCAGTGTGAAGCTTCTGTGTAAAAGCTTCGGTGTGTAAAAGCTTTTGTGTGTAAGCAGCAACAGGAAAGGCTGTCAAGATTCAGGATGTCAAGGGCATACCGGATCAAGAGAAAGTGGCATCATCAGGCACGGATGTCAAGACAAAGAAATTTCAAGCAGAAAGATTTCCAAGAGATGACGCGGTCAATGGCCGTGACAGGCAGGCGGTCAGGCTTCGTTCCTATAGGCTTTCCCTTTTCTTGATAAGCTCCTCCCCCTTTCGATTTCGCCCGTCACCCGCCTTGCCCCGGGCTCTACTTGTATAGGTAAGGGCGGGTCGAGGATAGCTGTGGCATTTCAAAGCGTTGCAGGGAATGGGGTCGGTCAGGTGCAGGATCATGTACCGATGGGGTAGACAAGAGCGCCTGGGTGGAATGCCCTTTGAATCACACAGAGCGAGGGCGGGGCATATCTAGGAGTTTGGATGACGATCTAGGCGAGAAGACTCTACTGCGGCAAAAGGAGCTCACTGCATCAAAGGTAGCGCCATGAAGTTCTTATGGTATTTCTTCTTCTGGTGTCATGAGTTAACGGCAAGGAATGAATCAAAACAGAGATGCTTTGCCACCGGCTGGAACCCATCAGCGTAGCCCTAAACCTAGCCTTGCAGCCTCGCGTAAGTCTTGCATTCCCCCGGGCGCTCCTCCAATGAGGAAAAGGGATGCGCTTGCCATGGCAGCTAAAGACGACCTCCGTAACCGGGCCTTGCGCAGAATCAAGCTGGTAAAGCGAATTCTCAAAAGGCTCGCTGGACAGACTCAAAGCCCATGATGAATGCACATCTTCAATCTTTCTTTGTTTGTTTGTGCACTGGAAATATTGCTATCTCTTGCTATCATCAAATCGATAAAGGTTCACTGGTCAGCATGGGCATGCACACATCTTTAGGCTTCAGAAGCTCCAAGCCTAATTCCGGCTACAAGCTAACTTTTGAAGCCAGGCAAACCACCTCCATCCCTGGTACCAGCAAGGCCACCAAAAGGTTAACGAACATCACGCTCCGTGGGTACACCTTGCAAGCCAGGACCCAATTGAGTCCAAGCAAGTCTTCCGACTCCAATGATCGCACACCAAGTTGCAGCGGTGATAAAACCTGAGCTGATGAACCTCGGTTGAAGCCCGTTGAAGTGGAATATGCATGCCACTGTGATCCCATCGCCCTAGAAGTACAGTGGAAGAATTTAGGTTCCAACATATTTCTGTTGAATTTCCAACAGGGCCATGAAGAACAATGGCATGAAAGCAATCTCACAATTCAACTTTTGCTCTTCTCAGAAAACCTCACGCAGGCCAAGGACTCGTAGATCTGGAACGCAGCCACTCCCATGGCCAGCGCGAAGACTGCCATGATGCCAATGACACGGCCGCCTGAGTGCAACCAAGTCAGCGCGCCATCTTCATTCGATGTTTGGTGCATTCACGCAAAGGACTACATCATATTCAATGATGGGGTACTTCTGACACTCTATGTACTTGGCGTGATTGAATGCAGGGGAAAACGACATGTCATATCGCAAAAGTTGTTGGGCTGGGCCATGACGCCAGCTTATCTTGTGACCGCCTGTTCCATTTCCCTGGGACAACTTCGAAGATACACACACATGCCTGTTGCCACCCTGATCTAAATCTTGGGTATAGTAGCAATGTGCCAAGAAGTCATTGAATTAGTGAGTGACGGTGAAAGTGCCCATGGGAATTTGGCAGTAGTCGTGACTCCAAAGTTTCTAATCTGGACTTCTTTTGGCCATAAATGGTTAGAGCAGTACTGCAGACGCCTCTGCAACTCCACCTCTCAGCTGAGGTTCTGCTTTCTGTGGTGCTAATTGCCAAAGCTGCCAGGGCAGCTGGAGAAAAAGGTGCGAAAGTCACTGCGAAAAGCCAAGTATACCTTGGATGTCTTTTCAAAGGGGGTGGATTTTAACACCGCAATCGGTGGTTGTTAAAACCTACGGGTTGAAGACCGAACGTGCGCTTTGCGCGGTCTTTGTTGGCCTAAAAACGTTCCGTTGAACCTGCGCACTTGCGTCACGCTACGCTAGTGTAGGTTCTCTTGCACTTGCACACATGCGTCACGCTACGCTGCTGTAGGTTCTCTTGCGCTTGCACACATACGTGACGCTACGCTACTGAAGGTTCTCTTGCACTTGCACAAAAAAGAATTGTGCCGTCAAGAGACCCCAAACAGTGTGTGTGTGTGTGTAGGAAAATGTATGATAATGCTGATGATGATGATGATGATGATAATGATGATGGTGATGATAATGATGTTGGTGATGATGATGATGGTGATGGTGATGATGGTGCTAATGCTGATGATGGTGATGACGACGATGCGGAGGATGATAATGTTGCGGACGATGATGTTGAAGATGAGTTTGAGGATGATGATGTTGAGAAGGAGGAAGATGATGATGTTGAGGTTGAGAAGGTTGTGGAGGATGGCGAAAAGGATCATAATGTTGCGGAAGATGAGGCAGAGGATGATGTTGCGGATGATGTGGAGGATGATGATGTCGAGGATGATGGTGTCAAGGGGGAGGAAGATAATGATGTGGAGAATGATGATGTTGAGCAGGAAGAAGATGATAATGGTGCGGATGATGAAGTGGAGGGGGGCGAACCGATCACAAGACCGCGGCCACAGTTTGTGCTAGCCTGCGCAGTCGAAAGGCACTTGGATTTACAGGGAAAATGCCGCGCCCCAGAAGTGAGCCGCACGTTTTGTGCGAGCCTGCGCAGCGCTGTCGAAATGCACTTGGACATGTCACAAGAGCATACAAGAGCAATCTTATGCAGAAATTTAAGAAGAAAACGCTGCGCCCCAGGACCGCGACACAGACATCGTGCGAGCCTGCGCAGTCGACATGCACTTGGACAAGCCACCTTATGCAGATCACGAGGAGAACACCGCGCCCCAGGACCGCGACACAGACTTGGGCGAGCCTGCGCAGTCGAAATGCACTTGGACATGTCACAAGAGCCACCTTATGCGGAAATATACAAGGAAAATGCCGCGCGACACAGACTTTGTGCGAGCCTGCGCAATCGAAATGCACTTGGGTAGAACACAAGAGCCATTTTATGCGAGAATTTACAGGAAAGAAGCCGGAAGCCTCAGAGTGAGCACCTCGATCAAGCACCGGCCTTAACTCTTACCATAAGAACTCCTCAGCGTGGACACACTGCTAGCTCCTGTGCCCACACTGAGGGGTTCTTACGGTAGATGGCTCTGGGGCACGGCATTCCCTGTAAATTTCCGCATAAAGTCGCTCTTGTGAAACCTCCAAATGCATTTGACTGCTCAGGCTCACACCAGCGCGGATCTGGGCCCGGGCGTTTTTCCTATAAATTTCCACGCAAAGTGGCTCTTGTGAAAGGCCCACAACTGCATTTGGACTGTGCGCGGGCTTGCACAAAGTCTGCGTCGTGGTTCTGGGCCCGGGCATTTTTCCTGTAAATTTCCGCACAAAGTGGCTCTTGTGAAATGTCCAAATGCATCTCGACTACGCAGGCCGCCGCAGGCCCGCACAAAGTCTGCGTCACGGTTCTGGGCTCAGGCATTTTTCCTGTAAATTTCCGCACAAAGTGGCTCTTGTGAAATGTCCACCTGCATTTCGACTGCGCAGGCTCGCATAAAGTCTTCGTCGCGGTTCTGGGCTCGGGCATTTTTCCTGTAAATTTCCGCGCGCGTATTTCGACTGCGCAGGCTCGCACAGAGTGTGGGTCCCGGTCTTGGGATCGGTCCTCGTCCTCAACATCATACTCCTCGACATCATCACCTTATTCCCCCTTAACATCAGCATTCTCAACATCATCACCTTCCTCCCCTTGACCTCATCATCCTCAACATCATCAACCTCCACCTCATCTTCCGCAACATCATCATCCCCCACCTCATCTCCCGCAACATTTTCAACCTTGTCATCATCCTCCTCAACATACTCGTCATCCTCCTTCTCAACATCATCATCCTCCACCTTATCATCCCCCACTTCATCTTCCGAATTATCATGATCATCCTCAGGCTCCTCAACATCATCATCCTCAACCTCATCATCCTCAACATCATCCTCCTTCACCTCCTCATCCTCAACATCATCGTCCGCAACATTCTGCTCATCCTCATCCTCCTCCTCCTCCTCATCATCATCATCATCACCATCATCATCACCATCAGCAACATTATCATACATTATCCTCCCACTTCCCCACACTGTTTGGGGTCTCTTGCCGGGATAATTTTTAACATGGCAGATCCAACAACATTTGCTTCCCAGCACCATTGCCATGTGCGAACATGTCTTCAAATCAAGTCATTGAATTTGCCAAGATCCGAACGTCACTGGCAACACGTGCTGGCGGTTTCGCGCACGAGGGCCCGCGACAAGAGTTATTTTTCGGAATGCGTTTTATCCAGAATACACAGTAATCCCCGCAAAAAAATGCAAAACACCCAGCAATTGACCACATAGCAACGAAAAAACATTGCAAACACATGATTAGCATGATCTCCACTGTTCAAAAATCATTTTCCACATTCAATTTCTAGCCCGGCGGGATGTTTAACCATTTATCTGTAAGATGTGATTCTCTGTTTCCTCAGCACCCCAAGCATATGTGGAAAAATGGGAACCAGCAACGAGACTTCATTCACAATGTGCCAACGTCAACTGTGACTTGTAGCTTTGATGTGTGGGTTGCCCCTTGGCAAAAGTAGTGTTACCGAAACTCTGCGCTGGTACCTGTACGCCTCGGCAAATCTAGGTGAGTATCAAAATGGAGCCTCCTGCAAACATTTTTGGATAAGAGGGGTTTGCCCCGCCCTTCATACTTTTCAAACGAAGGTCTTGCAAAGGCGTGACGCATTCTGTATGGAAGAGCCGTGAATCAAGCACGTAACTGAGCTAGCGACATCCACTCGTGGTTGTCTTCTTGCCATGACGACCCACAACTCCTGTTCCTGAGAAGGAAGCTGGCCCTTGACCACGACATGTCTTCCAGTAACACAGGCTGTATCTGGTCATCCGGTCTAAAAATCCGTGCCTTTGGGCCCCATGCGGACCAGAAAAGCAATATTTTAGTATGTGGCTCTACCAGGTTCTGGGCGATGTTCTTTAGATATACTTCTCTGCTCTGCGGGCTGCCTCTAGGCGGTTGTTTTATGGTTATTTAATATTATTTATTATTATTATACAGTTATTTTTCTTCTTATATATTCTTTTTATTATTCTACAGTTATGTTTTTGTTATTTCCCATTCAAGGCTGGCCTCAAGAGTTATGGCTTGTAAGGAGGTTCATCGACGTAGCAAAACCATACCGCTCCCAGGGAGGCTCAAACTCTCGACCATGTGGTTGACGGCCTCACGCTCTAACCAACTGAGCTATGGAAGCCTCTGCTGCAGGCCGACGTTGTTTTGCGTGGCTTGCTGACATCGATGCTGCTTTTGCGTGGCAGGCAAGGTGCTTGTGGCACTGGGCTGGTTCTAGTGGCGTGCTTGGTCGCGTCTGGCGCCGCGGTCTTTTGCATGGCAGGCGTGGCAGTGGGTGACATTGATGTGGCAGGCGTGGCACTAGCTGACATCGACGTGCCTTTTGTGTGGCAGGTGTGGCACTTATGGCATCTTCTGGCACTGGGCTAGGCGTGGCACTTGGTGACATCGACGGTCGCTTTGCATGGCGGGCGTGGCGCTTGGTGACATTGACGTACCTTTTGTGTGGCAGGTGTGGCGCTTGGTGACATTAACGTTGCTTTTGCGTGGTGGCGGGCTTGGTCGCGTCTGGCGCCGCGTCACTTTGTCTGGCAGCTACCTATTAGGCCTGCAGCTACAATTATTTGTGCATGTTGTTTGACTTGCACATTGGCTGGCAGGTAGCAAGTCAGACCTGCAGGTACTGGTACTGCAGGTACCGGTTTGAAATTTCTTGCAGCTCATTTTGAGCGTGACGCATTGACCCTGATTCTCGTCAGGTGTTTCAGATTCCAGACGGACTGTGACGCGCCATGTCAAAGCAATTTCACGTCTTAATGTTTTGACGTTGCTTGACATCTCTGTTGCCAGGTATGTCCTCCCGATCACTTTGCCATCATTAATGGATATTAATGGAGGCTCTGTTTTGGTGATTCAGCTGGTTGTTTCGTATCGGTTTCAACCATACTGTCTTTTCGTGAGTTCAGTTGCCGACATGAAGATCTACGCGCGCTGCTTTGCGTCGGTTTCACTGGCATTTCTTTCCGAAGTCATTTTATCTCACTGGCATGCGCCGTTATCACCGCAAGTGTCTGTCAATGATTGTTATTGCGTCCAATGTTGCTTTGCCGCCAGGTACCTCTCCGATCTTCGCTGTGGCTGTCGCAAGATCCTAGACAGTTGCTTTGACGCAACGTGGGAGGAAGCAACGTTTGCAGCCGCCGGACATCTGTTGCAGACCGTCCGTTTTCATGCCGCTCTGCACAGACTGTAGCGACATTGCTCATGCCGCCAAAACGGGATGTTGCCAAGAGCCACCTTCCATGGTCTTGGCGCGCCCCTATTGGCCACAGGTCACACAACACTCTCGGGCATCTTTCTTTCACACCCAGCTCTTCTACATACATCTCTTCCGCGCGCGGTCACTCATATTTGTTCTTCTTCCACAAGCCTTATCTTTCACATATAACTCTTTCACGCGCGCAACTTTGTCGCACGCAACTCTTTCTCACACAACTCTTTCACACAACTTTGCCATATGCCCGTGCCACGCACAACTTGTCATCTTTCACGCGCAACTTTTTCACGCGCAACTCTTTCACACACAACTCTCTTGCACTCCTTCACATACAACATTATCACGCTCAACTTTCTCACACACAACTCTTTCACACACAACTGTTTCACAGACAACTTTTTAAAACAACGCATTCTCCACTATATCCTGTGGGTTTATCCTGTCCTCTAATTGTGTTTATTGCTTTTATTGCCCTTGTTGAAAGGACGTCTTACGTCGTGGCGTTTAGTTTACGTTGGGTTATTGTTGTTTTAACTGCTTTGGTGCCCCTTGTTGTCGTTGTTATCGTTGTTGTTGAGCATGCTGCTTTGGAGGTGGACCTGGGCTCCTGCACTTGCACCGCTCCGACCCCAATACTTGCTGCGCAAGGGGGAACTCAGGTAGCTTACCGCTACCTTTCGAGATTATTTTTTGTTATTTTACAGTTTTTTTTGTTATTTTACACTCCTTTTTGTTATTTTACGAAAATTTTTGTCATTTTACATTTTTCATTTTGCAGTTATGTTTGGTACTTTGCAGTTATTATATTTTTTATTTCGCAGTTATTTTTTTTGGTTATTTCATGGGTTTGTTTTGTTCTTTTATTGATAACTTACATTACTTTATGTTATTTTATTGATAACTTTTGCTATTTATGAATACCTTTTTGATATTTTATGGATATACAACATGTTCTTATTTAACGAATAACTTTTCTTTTTCATGGAGAACATTTTGTTATTTTTATGGATAACTTTTGTTATTTGACTGTCTAATGTGTGTCATGTGTTATTGTTTTTTCTTTTGTAAAGTTCTTTGATGATATTTTTCCGGTTTAGTCTTCACTTTCTGTGGCCAATTTTCAACTTCGGTCAGTCTAACTGATACAGAGCTTGGTACCAGGTTTAACTTTTGACGGTTTAACATTGTTGGTTCGATAGCAGTAGCTGTTGACTGCTCTGTTCACGGAATACGTATGTGACAATGGACTATGTGACTTGCTGGCATTGGCTTTGGTTTTAAACAAAGCAGGAACTTATAATTCATAATTTATAGCTTATAGATAGTTGTGCGGGGAAAGATTTGGATGTGGTTTTCAGATCTCCAGCAGCTTGCACGAAGCGTTGTGCCTTGATGAACACGTGAAGCTTCAGGTTTGTAGACACCAACATCGCGCTAGGTCTTTTATTTGAACCATGTATTTTCAGCCGACATCACGTCAGGCCGCCGATTAATACCGTGGTTCGCTGCCAGCTTGTTCAACAACAACAACAGCAACAACAACAACAGCAACAACAACAACAACAACAATGCCAACGCATAACCACAAACATTTAACATTAAACAACACATAAAAATGTATCAGAAAAACGGTAAACAAAAAATGGTTGTGAACTAACCAAAAATAACTGAAAAATAAAAAGCAATAACGGTAAAGTAAGAAATAATACCTGTAAAATAACAAAAACCCGTAAAATAGCAAACAGTAACTGTAAAATAACAAAAAGAGAACTGTAAAATAACAAACAAATAACTGTCAAATAACAAGTAAGTTTGATCTACAGAAAACGTTTTAGAGCAACATCCTAAGCAATATTCGATACTTCGATACTTCGGAAAAAATGTGTGCGCAATTTGGCTGAACAGAACAGCAGCAGGCACCATCTGTTTGCCAAGAATCTCTCTCTGGAGCTTGAAAATTTGCATATGGGAAGTGCCGCCCAAACCAAAGGCCAGTGCAGTAACTATAGCGAAGATAATGAACAGCTGCCTGCTCATTGTGTCCTGGAGACATTTTCTAAAGGAGGTCAATTGTAGTCACAGAGCGAAGGTTGCCCATAGTACATTGAGAACGCCCAAACTAAAGTGCGACTTCATTTCTTTACGTTCATTCAGCCTCCTCCAGGTTTGCAATCAGGATATTGGAGACACTTCTGCCACCCTGCAAAAAAACATGTGTCATGCCTTGCTAAAGCTTGCCAGAAAAGCGCCAGCCAAGCAAACGACTGCAACAACCTGAGCGCCAAAGACAATATACAGCGTACCCACAAAAAAAACACCAAGATACCCCAAACCATAATCAGGGCAGAGTCCAGAGTCTCGTCTGACAGGAGGTGAAGATGCATGCTGATGACCACTGACGTATAGTGAACAAAACGCGCACTACAGCGCACAGGAACTGCCGTTCTATCCTTAAGGTGGCCACGGTGGCCATGGTCCGCAGTAAAGTACATCAAGGGTAAAAAACAATACCCACCTGTTCAAATGCATCTTGACTCATCACCCAAGTCCTAAAACCTGCTGTCGGAGTGCATATGCAGTCATCCAAGTCAAGACTTCCTTGGCTGCAGATCTGGCCCCGAAGTTCTGCCCTACTGCCAAGCTCCTGATGTTTGTGCTTGTATTCATTCGTAGACATTTGTTCGCTTGCTTTTTTTCTTCTACATGGATAGCCAGTTGCCGACTCAAAACATCTACTGTACGATGGCTGATGAACTCTTTTGTTTCAGCTCCCTGAGATCCAAACTATCTTTTACTTATCAGTACCTTTTTGAGTGGTACCAGCAAGGTATGACTTCTCAAGGATGTTGGCCGTCAGTTGGTAATTATGAAACTTTCTCGGTTTGCCAAACAACAAAATGTCCTATTCACGGACTCTTTTACTCTGTCAAGCGACTGTGTCACGCTCTTCGCAGTTGATCTTTGACAACGACTCCATGGCCCGAGCAATTTTTTCTCGTGCAATGGGGCGCTGAGCTTGCTTCGGCAGACGGCTTCGATGTAACTTGCAGCTCGTCAGCGGTAAGTAATGCTGACAAAAGTGATGCGCTGAACAAATCATCAGTGTGCATCAACCCCTTGCAAAAGGAAAGTGGCCTATGCATTTGTGTATATTTATATAAAACTATATAAATATATATATATATTCTACCCCCCCTCTCCCTCTCGCTCTCGCTCTCGCTCTCTCTCTCTCTCTCTCTCGCCATTCATGGTTCCATGTTCTACCAAACAAGCCTCGCAATAAATGTGGGATCGGTTTCCTTTGTCAACCAACTCGTTGCAATTGGCTTATTCAACGGTCTTTTGGGTCGTCGATGTAGTCTTTTTTCTCACTTGCAGGATCAAAGCTCCTTTGGCCCGTTCCTGATTCCTTAAGCGCAGTTTATTTCATTTGCACCTTCACAATCCTCACGTGGAACATGTAATCAACAAGTCGGGACAAACGAGGTGGCAATGGAAGCATTGCCACCCAAACTCTGGACACAATATTTCGCACAGGCCAATGACAAGCTTGGTTGCTCGGCTCGAGTTTTTGGAAGCTGTGCTTGCTTCGGCGGCTATCTTTTAGGTCGCAACACCATCTTCCTGTCTCCACAGCCAAAACTCCAAAACACAAACCATCTTCACGTGAAGAGTGAGGATTTCCAAAGCCCGGATCGTGCACAAAGACATCTCATCTGACCACAAGACCTGCAATCGGATCCAGCACTTATCCCTTAGACGCCTTGCAGCATGTAGTGACCCATCTTTACGACGGTGCCTGCAGGGCAGGCTTCTGATGATGTCTGATGGTCAGTGTCATCTTTGGACTGACAAGGCATTGAAAACCAGTGGTTCCGGGCCATTTATGCCATTTAGGGCTGTGCCATCGTATGCTCAGCATGGGTGCTTCAAACTGTTTTGGAATGCTACAGGGCAAGTGCTGGAGCTAGCGCAAGCTTCAAAGCACAGTCTCGTCTTTGGACCCCAAGCAAACTTGAAAGTAGATCTAACTAACA